CATCCTCCGCCACACCGAGCAGCAGGCGGCGAGCGCTTAACAACCCTAGGCCTTCTTCGTGCCGTCCTTGCCGACCTTGGCGCGGTCCGCGGCGCGCTTGCCCCAGATCGCCTTGAGGTCCTCCTTGCAGCCCGCGTAGGTGCCGAGCCACTTGTCGATGGGCACGTGCATCGCGCCGTAGTTGCAGTCGAAGTGGGCGTGGTGGAGCTGGTGGAAGTAGTCGCCGCTCCCGGGCCACTGGAAGCCGTCGTGGCCGAGCCACGCGCCCACCGCGCAATCGACGACGCACGCGAGCGGGATCGACGGGTGGACGCCGAGCGGCACGACGAGGAGCGCGGCGGAGAAGTAGAGCGTCGCCTCGACGGGGTGCATGTTCGTACCGGAGAAGGCCGTCGGGTTCGAGGATTTGTGGTGCAGCGAGTGGACGTGCTTGTACAAGAACTTGCCGACGTCCGGGACGCCCTTGGCCTTCCAGGGGTGCATGCCGCGATGGATGAGCCAAAAGTGCGGGATGCGCCAGTGCGTCAGCGTGAGGATGAGGAAGACGTTCTTCGCCGAGAGCTCCAGCGACGGCGCGGACGCGAGCGTGCCCGACGCCCAGAGGCGGCAGAGCCAGCACTCGACGGCCGCCGCGCAGAACATGGACTGCGTCGCGACGAGGAAGTCGCGGCCCATCTGGCGCAGGCCCGGGTAGACCGGGTTGAGCTTGTACTTTTCGAGCTTCGCCGCCAACGGCGAGAAATAGAGGAAATAGTCCCAGCCGCCCGCGATGAGCCAGCACGCGAACACGTCGCGCGCAAGGATCGGGCCTACCCAGGACCAGGCGTAGCCGTGGGAGGCCGCGCCGCCGAGCGCGCCCGGGTAGTCGTCCCAGGAGCCGTAGACGGCGACGACGACGTACCAGGCCATGAGGAAGCTGCGCGCCGCGCCGAACATGGACGTGGCGTGGCCGACGCCGTCGAGCTCAGGCGTCGCCTCGGGCTTCGGCACGGCGTCGTCCGCCTCCGGCTTCATGATCGCCGAGCTCAGGTGGCCCACGGGCCAGGTGAGCGGCATGTAGAAGGGCTGCCCGGCGCCTACAGGATGGGTGGTCAGGCATGAACCGCTCCGAGGCTAAAAATGCTTCGTGTTCGAGGGCAATTCGCTGGAAAAACAAAGACACCTATCGTTGGACGCTGCCCGGCGCCGGCCATCGTGCAAGATCTAGGACAGAACGACGGCGATTGTCGTGGAAGGCAGCCGATTTTAAAGTGCAAACTCACAAAGGTGCTTTTTTTTTTTTGCCTGTAAGCAAAACTCAAGAATTCGAAGACCAGACGCAAGATCGGACGCCGGCGTGCGACAGGAGGAGCGTTCGCGACCCGCGCGCGTCGCGATGCGCGCCGCGCTGCTGCCGGCGCTGCTGGCGACGGCCGCAGCACTGCAGCAGCCGCGCCAGACGCAACCATCGTTGCTCGCGCGCGCCGCGAAGCAGCAAAGACAAAGAGAAGCGGATCCGCGGAGCTGCTTCGTGAAAAACTTGCACTTCCACGCCGACGAGAAGGACCTGGCCAAGGCCGCCGCGAAGTTCGGCAAGGTCGAGTCGGTCTGGATCCCCGAGGGCAAGGGCTTCGGCGCCGTGACCTTCGCGGACGCGGCGGCGGCGGCCGCGGCGATCCGGACGGCGCAGGTGCCCGTGCGCGGGCGCCCCGCGTACCTCGTCGCGAACTCGCGGCCCGGCGGCGCGCGCGCCGACGCCATCCGCTTCCTCCACGCCGCCGCCAAGGGCGAGGGCGCCGGCGCGAGGGACCGCGCGGCCGTGCTGCGGAGCTACGAGGCCGCGGGCCGGCCCGGGGACGCGCGCGAGCTCGGCATCGTCGCCGGCGCGCTGGCCTTCGCCAAGGCGCGGCGCGAGGTGCTGGACGTCCTCGACTCCCACGCGGGCGGCGCGCCGACGTCCGCGGTGAACGCGGCGCTCGCGGCGCTCTCCGTCGCGGGCGAGGCCGACGCGCGGCTCTGCCGCGACCTCGTCGGCCTCGCGGGCGCCGAGGCGAACGCGCGCACCTACGCCTGCGCCATCGGCGCCTGCAAGCGCGGCGGCGGCTACGCGGCGCTCGGGGCCGAGCTGCTCGCCGAGGCCATCGGGAGCGGCGCGGCGAACGCCGTCGTCCACAACGAGTACATCGCGCTCCACGCGCGGGCCGGCGACTGGCGCGGCGCCCTCGACGCCCTCGAGGACATGTTCGAGGCGCCCCACGCGGCGCCCACGGAGGTGTCGCTGAACGCGGCCATCGCGGCCTGCGCGGCCGCGGGCGAGGTCCGCGCGGCGCGCCGGGTCCACGAGATCGGCTTCGGCCGCGCGGGCGCCGAGCCCACGAAGGTGACCTTCAACTCCCTCCTCGCCGCGGCCCACGTCGCCGCGAAGCAGCGGCGCAAGGCCGGCGGCGACGACGACGACGGAGACCGGGAGGAGACGGTGCTCTACGTCCGCGAGACGCTGCGGCGCATGCAGCAGGCGGGCCTGCGGCCCGACCACGTGACGATCAACACGGCCCTGAGCTGCTACGGCGCCTGCGGCGCCGTCGACTCGGCGAAGCGCCTCTTCGACGGCGCGGTCCGCGACGGGAGCGCGACGACGGTGACGGCGAACGCGTACCTCCAGGCGCTCGCCGTCGCCGGCGACGCCGCGGCCGCCGTCGAGCTCGTCGGCGAGACCATGCCCGCGCGCGGCGTGCGGGCCGACGCGACGACGTGGAACACGGCCATCGCCGCGTGCGCCGGCGTCGACGACGCGAAGGCGGTCGAGCTGCTGGACGCGATGCCCTTCGCGGGCGCGGACGCGGCCTACGCCTTCTCCGCCGCGCTCGCGGGCCTCGAGGACGCGCGCGGCGCGCTGGCCGTGCTGCGCCGGGCCGACGACGCGCGCGCGGCGACGACGCCCGTCGTCAACGCCGCGCTCGCGGCCCTCGACCGCGCGGGCGACCACGAACAGCTCCGACGGCTCTTCGCCGAGGGCTTCGACGCGCGGGGCTTGCAACGGGACGCCGTGTCGTGGAACAC